ACTACTAGTAAGGCACTTGTTACTAGAAGCGATGCACTTGTTCCTAAGAGCTTCTTGCTCCCAGTAGTAAGGCCAGGAGCCCCTAGTAGCATCCTTGCTCCTAGTAGCGATGCCAGGGCCCCTAGTAGTGTCCTTTGCTCCTAATATTTTTCCTTTGGGGTCGGACATGCATTGATACCATCAACAGGCTTGTGCATGGCATCTTGTGCCATGAGGTAGCACTGTGCTACCGTATTGCCATACCCGCCTGGACATTGTCCACTAGGGCGGAACTGTCGGCGGAAGACTTGTTCCTGCGCGCCTTTTGGCAAAGACGTGAAGTTCGTGCCCCGCTTCGACAACACGACCACCACCTATGCTGAATGGCGGAGGCGAGTGAAGTTGTACGCCCGCAAGCTTGAGATCCAAGGTCGCAAAAGTGAAGTGGCACTGAACATTTTGTTTGTGCTGGAGGGCCCATCCTGGACCCAGTGCGAGGACCTGGATCTTCACGAACTTGAACAGGAGGACTTGACATCCTCCTGTGGACTGGTCTGATGTTGCATGCTGTGGTGACAGCAGTCCGTGGCGCGTCCTTTAGACCTATACACCCGCTATCTGGCGTCTATGCCGGTGCAGTTCAATTCCTGACTTGACCAAAAAGAGTTTCGCACTTCTAGAAATGCCAAACCATGCGCGTCCGGCTTTTATTCTTGTTCTTGCAGCCCGCTAGTGTTTTCGAAGCGTGCCATTGATGCGCCCCTTTTTGGCGTTCAATTTGGCCCGCGGCTTCGCTCGTTTCCTGCAAGTGGTTTGGTTTCAGTGGTTGTCGTCCAGATCTTCCTTGGTCTCTTGAAGTTGTGAGCATCCTGATTTAACTGGCTTAACTTCCTCCTACTGATGAGGCTCAATTATTCGTTCATATTTTTTCCATCATTGAGAGGCCTAGGGTCAGATGTCGGAGCGGTGTGGCCACTCTTGACTCTTGTCCTCAGGCACGTGGGCTCACTCAGCACTTGCAGCTTGGATTTTTATGTGGACCTTCAGACCTTACGAACATGTTTGCTCCCCTGCTCTCTTACACAATTTCTTGTTGACTTGCTTGCGTTCCAAATGTGCTAGGCCGAAACGATATATGTCGGCAGAGTGTGCGGACTACCCTTGTATCCTGAAGCAGGTAGAATATAGTACAAAGCATGCATGACTGGTTATCTCAAACCTTTGATGGAGATTTTGGTTTTGCAGGCACATGGAGAGTTCGGAAAGGACTGTTATCGTTGTGATGTTTGCCTGAACTTTGGCACCATACACCCGGACTTGCTTACAGTTGCTTTGCCATTACTTGTTTTGTTAGTCCCTTTGTTGCCCGAGGAGTGCAATATTGTCCACAGCCCTGAGGATGTTTGCAAGGCCATTCCAGCAAAGGCGTTGAGGCTGTTGGTCTGGCTCAAAGGCTGGTGTCTCCAAAGAGCTCAGACGGGTAAAGGACATCAAATCACACACCTCGTTTTGAGCCAAACCCATTCAAATTAGGCCACCAGCTAGCATCTTCAGGCTGTGAACGCAATCTGGTGTTGTAATTCTGATGTTTTTTGTCGTGCTTTGTGTTGGCCTGAGCCTTGAAGATCCAGAGGTGACACCGCAGGGACTGGGGACACGCTGGGTACTGCAGGAGAGGGACTGCAGTGTTGATTTCTGACTTTGATCTGCTCAATGTCCCGGCGAGCCAGGAACTTGTACATGGGCGCTTTGAGGCGTCGCATAATTTGCGCAGAGTCGCGTCGAGTGTGGAAATGGTAAAGAAAGCACAGAATGCGGAGAAGACTGTGCCGATGTATCGAAGGAGTTGGAACTTTGCATTCCAGGTCTCGACTACCGTCCTGGCAGACTTTGGGCACATTCTGGACGAAGTCAGCACGTGTCTCTTGAAGAAAGTAGTTTTGCAACAAGCTTTGGCGTCATCTAGCTTCTTTGTGCACCTTCAGGCTATGAATACGATTCCGAGACCTACGTTTGGCCACGCTGCCGGGGGGTGAGCAAAAGCTTGTACAGTGTGCCGCACGGGCATTTGAAGATCTTCGAGCAGTTTCTGGAGAGCTATTCTGGGATCTGCAATTTCAACTACAAGGCCAGGATTTCTTTCGAACAAAGCAGCGTGTTCGCTGAACAATGCAGGTGCGTGATGGTGAACTTCGCATCTTTGAGCTGAATACTCGCATAGGACTGGATGGCCCAAAGCGATGGAAGCAATTCAGTGGTTGAGTGCCAGTTGAGGAGGTGACCTGGCGGTGGATGCACCCCGTGAGAGGGCACGTAGGCTGTTTGAGAAGCTGGATGCACACTGGTGCATCTCTTCAAACGACACAATGCCAGAAAAGCAATTTGCATTCTGCCGCAGTACAGGTTTGCCACAGTGAAATGCGTGCAAGAAAGAGTTGTGCACCAATGTCATGGACCGGCCCAAGGCCCAAGGCACTTGGTAAGTAGGATTGATATTGCACACATGGGCCCAAACATGTTTTCTTGGATGCTGGCCACTGCCTTGCAAAGTGTAAGCAATATTGTTTTCCAAGCAAGTTGCTCCTCAACCAGCCAAGTTGAGTGACATTACACAAATTGTGCATATGATTACTGATTCCTCTTCTCGGATCTTCTTGGGGACTCCCCATGTTCAGTCCCAAGCCAGAAGATCCGAGCGACCTCTCCCCTCCTGATGAGTTGGCCCAGGCAGGGGTGGGCGTGCTGATCCTATTTGCATGAGACAATTACTGTATATGAAACAATTTTACATGCATATACATGCATAAAATTGTGTAAAGGCATTTGCATCTAAAGATGGCACGTTAGAAGAGTTGGAGCGGGCCCGGTTGCAAAAGGCAGGATTCAGACACCAGAACTTTTGCGGTGATCAACTGTGCCAGGCAGGCCTTCAAACAATCAGAAAAACAATGAGCCTTATAGAAGGAAACGCGAGGGAAGAACCCCCCAACCATTAAAGAGGTGCATTGCTGCATCAGTTGTCCCACCAGAAATCACCTGACATGGCATCACCCAAAGCAGCACTCTTCAACGCATCACACATGCAGATCGCATTTCACCACATTGAAAGTCACCATGTGTCACCTCACCACAGCAGAAATCATTTGGCGTCACCTGACCCCACGACTCCTAACAGGTTTACTTCAAACAAATCAAACCTTTCGGGATGTGCTTATGCAATGCTACATTTTCCCCGCTACTTTATTCTGCCCTGAAATTCTGTGCCCCGTTGAGATCTTGCCATGCGTCCATGGTCCATGGTAGTGTGTGTCTGTAAATTTTCTACAAGATCGCGGAAGTTGGCGGGTACCTTGGTGTTTGAGGTTTGCTGTTGCCGCGTTGCCCCTCATTCTTCAACTCATGACATGTGGCAAACAAAAAGACTTCCCCGCCAAAGCGCAGCTTCATTGCTGGAGGCGCTGTCTATTTGGGCAAGGCATTCGGCAGGAGCTGCATCCAGGGGTGCCCAAGCAGCAGCCTATGCACGCGCACAGGTGGGCTTCACAATGATCGAGGGTAGCAACAGACGGTGATTTGGTGTAATCTGCCTCGCAGGCAGCGGTTGCGCACAATCTGGCCTACACAGCAGCAGTGAAGGCCTGACACATACAGCAAACTATCGGTCAGAGGAAGAGTTTCGACTCAGATAGGCTGTTGACCCATGTTCCTGTACAGTTGTTTGGTGTCAGATCCGCGAACTTGATGACAATGAATGCGTTCGCAAGTACTCGGAAGAGTTTGAGGGAGCGACGCCCAGAGAATTGAAAATACAAGGTCACGATTGGTGTTTGCTTGGTCAGAGTTGGCAAGGTCCAATGGAGCAGTCCTTTCCTTCACCTCTGATGAGTGACGCTCGCTTCAAATGAACAATCCGTGACATGGTTCTACGTGCAATCATATACCACAATTCAGTTTGCACGTCTTTGTAGACTGGCAATTCCTGTTGCAGTCGACAGGTGCACCTGACGCGCCTGGTCGCAAACGCCACAGATGCTGCTCGATCACATCCATGTCCATGCGAGGCTCGGTGGCATTTGAGGACCTTTCTGAACCAACCTGAACTTCAGCCATAGGTGCTGTGCGTTTGCTGTCAGCTGAGGCTCCAAGAAGATCGGAGAGACTGTTAGCCTTCTTGTGATGCTAGTCAAAGAACTTTGTCTCACATCGCAGCGCGTAAGGTCGTTGAGCCGACAACGAAAAGATGGAATCCCCCAAAAAAGTCTATATATGAACCTCATGACTTTGGGCATGGTGCAGCTTTCTTGGGTCAAGCTTGTATGGAGCATAGGCCCTTGACACTAGGACTGGCAGGGGGATCACTCTCTTCGTTCGCCTGGCGCTTCTTTTCGGACCTCGTGGACTCGCCTTTTCAACCGGCTGTCCCTTCACCTGTGGATTGTATTTGCCCCACCGTTGATTACCTGGATTGGGATATTGATTTCAAATCTGTTTCCATTAGAATTTTGGTGGGTATCGCACTCGGGCCCCTTCTCGAGGCTTTGCTGGTAGTCAGACAGTGGTGGTCAAACCTGGTCAGGCGGCAGCTCGCTGCCGTTACGCGGTCGGTTCGACCGCTTTATCGAGATATCTAGGGCTTGCGTGTCCAGCCAGAGCACTCAAGATCGTACTATTCTTGAGTTGACTTCCAGGATTGAGCGCCTTGAGCTTCGGGTTTCAGGACTCGAATCTTTTCAGTTTGAAGTTGTGCAGGCTGAGGTTGAGGAGCAGTGGGAACCAGTGCCAATACAGTCCGGGCCGACCGCGTCCGGCGATTCGTCCACAGGCCCCATTAGCGAGACTGTTGTGCAAGGTGAAGCGCTTCCGTCTGAGGTTGATACCGAGAGGTTGGCCATTTTGAACTCCATCGGTCGTTGAGTTGCCCGTGCTTTGCAGAACAACATCACCGGCTCGTCAGGACGTGACCAGTTGCCTGAGCCAAGTCAGCATTATTTGGTTTTCAGGGGGGTGAACGGAGTTGTTTATAACCCAGTGAAGGTTTTTGCAACTTTCCCTGAAGCCTGTCGATTGGTCAAATCGCGTGGGGGTGCATTCGGTCGTTCGGTGTTCATTGGAGTGCCAAGCAAGTCGGACGGCAAGACCGTTTGCTCCTCGGCCAGCGTTGCCTGGCCGAGCGATTAGATTAGATGGAGGATTTTGTTGAGAACCTCGGCATTCCAGCTGAGGGCCCTGAGGCAGGTGATCTGCCCTTTCGACCTGAGAGTGTGTTTCTTTTGCAGCCTGACGGCACGGCCGATCCTTTCTACCAGATCGGTTTGATTCGTTTGCCTGCACCCGGTGGGGCCGAAGAGCCCGACCCAGTTCCAGTCATTCTAATTACTCGTGTGCAAGGAAAGATTTTAGCTGCTATACCTTTCAGTTTTTGGCAGCGTTCCGTAGCCCGAAGAAAGCTACCGCCTCAATCCTTTTCGAAAGCTGCTTCTGTTTCCGTCGGTTCAGTGTTAGATGTTGATCGAGAAGTTCCGATAGAAGGCACCTACATCAAGATTTGGATAGGTTTCCTGTCGGAAGAACTGATCCAATGTCTCGATTTCGTGAGTGTTCAGTCGGCCGAGCTAGAGAACGCATGCCTCACCGAACAGGAGGTAGGCGAGCATGTTCCTTTGGCCGAAGCTCTTCAGACAGTAGCAGACGAGAAATTCAGTTTCTTGTCGGCCGAATCCGGAGGGCCCGATCTTGGGAAGAGCAGTCAGGAGAAGCGGATTGCCCGTGTCGAAGAGGCCCTAGTCGAGATGAAGGCTCTCCTACATCAGTTTGCCCAAACCAAGGCTCGACCACAGAGCCCGGCTCCTGCAGCAAAGGCCCGGGTGACGTTCAAGCCGCCTACTCAGATTCCCCCAGAGAATCCAATAGCTGGGCTGGACCCTCATGTGGTGCAATCAGCCCTCCGGGCAGGAGTCTCTCAGGTGCAGTTGGAGGAGCTGGGACGTATGCTGACCGGAAAGAAGCCAGATCTAGCGGATGTTGCTCGCCCCTCTGCTTTGCGGAAGCCGGCTCGCTTGGATGTGTTGGGAGAAAGCGACGAAGAAGGCGAGGCCCCCACCGAGCCCGGGGGGGAGTTGAAGCCGAGCGCCGAGGAGCTCGAAAACCCCATGCAATCATCCTTGCTAAAGCTCACCAGCATTCTGGAGCACCTCACAAGCCCTACAAAGAAGCAGCGCAGTCTCCAAGACACTTTAGACGATTCAGTGGGCCACGGGGAAGTATCCTCTACTTCTTCCAGCAGCGGACACGGCAGACGACGTGCCGCTGTCCTTCAGACTTTGCGGAAAGCAATGAGAGATTGCCCAGAAGAGCTCTATGGTGTTCTGGAGAAAAACATGCTGCACGATTGTGGTGCCCCGGAACTTGGTCCGGGTCTAGGTATCATGACAGCCACGTTCAGAGGATGGGCGGAGCATCGATCGAGAGTGCCGAACATTCAAGGCACGGTCCGCACCCTTTGGGCTATGTGGAGCTCGAGACTCTCGATGCTCTTCGACAGAATCGCATTGCGGAGGCAAAGGCTCGGCTGAGTCTTCTGGTTGCTGCCATCGATCAAGTCTCTTACGACAAAGGGTCGTGGTTGCTGGGTGCGGAGGTCTTGCTCGAGGATGGACCCCCCTTTGGAAGTTTCAGCAAACATCAAGCCCCGGAGATCTTCGAGGTTCATCACTCCCGACTTCTGCCAGCACAATGGGCAGAGGCCATGATGTTTCGAATCAGGGAGCTGGACGATTTTGCAGAGAAACGGGCGAAGTTGGGAAAGCGCCAGATTCAGAACGATGCTCCAACGGGCGCTCCGCCGGCCAAACCAGACAAGCCGAAGCCGAAAGCGAAAAACAAGGGCAAAGGAAAGGGAGAGACGCAGGAGGAGAGCAATCATCCTCCTGCGGGCAGCAGCAATTGAATGATCCAGAAAGCTCCGAGCCGGCCGAGTCCCCGGCTCGCTGTTTTGTGCATGGTTGCCGAGACGATGCTGCTCGGCACGCGCCAGGCTCAAAGGCGACGACCGTTTGCCCGAGGACCTGGTTCAATTCATCCTTTCGGTTTTTGCGAGAGTTGGGAGGCAGTTTTTCAAAGTTTTTGCGTTCTTTCCATCGAAGACCAGCTACTTCTTCTCAGTTGAAGAGTACCGCCAAATTGTGGCCCATGCCGCTCCCTTTTCCGGGAGCTTTACTGGAGACTGGAGATGATTGCGAGACGAGAGCGTTGCAGAGGGGCTTGAACCTTTGTGTTGCTGCTCTGGACTGGGTCTATTTAAACAGGCCTGTGACTTGTCCTCTTGACATCGTGATCCCTTCCTCTTTGAACCGTCTGCAGTGGCGTGTGGTCCGATGCATGGAATCTGCTTGTTTGGCATGGATCCGTTGTGCTCCGGTCGACTCAACAGCAATGGGAAGATCGGCTGCAAAATTAAAAGTGGAAGACATCGAGAAGGCGCTGGAGAAACTCAGTGTTTTTGAAGGACAGATCTTTTCGGTGTTTGAACAGAGTTTAGCTGACAATTCTGGTTTTTGCTCATTTCGACGGCCCGTTTCGAAGATGGCCCCCGGGCTTCAGCGCAGCTCGCCTGGGCTGGTTTGCGGGACTTTACCTGCTTGGATGGTCGGCCTTGTTGCTATGTAGTTGACAAGCTTGGCTGACTTACACAACTCAGTTGGCAGAGTTAGCAAGTGCGCCGCGGGCGACTTACTATGTTGACCTTGGCCTAGTTATTGCATGTGCGCCAACAGTGCCGGGTGGAGTTGCTAAGTTGGCCGGGGCAGACTTGCTAAGTGTGCCGGGCTGACTTGCTATGTGCGCCGGGTGGACTTGCTAACTAGGCCGGGGCTGACTTGCTAACTAGACCGGGGCAGACTTGCTAACTAGGCCGGGGCAGACTTGCTAACTAGGCCTGGACGACTTGCTAAGTGCGCCATGTTAGACTTGCCGAGTGTGATTTATATCTAGAAACACACTAAGGACAGGTGGCCCGAAAACATGTTATTAAATACGTTCAGAAAAGAAAAGTGCGCGTAGAAAGCTGGCTGTGAGGACGTGTCCCCATCCACAAAAGGGTATCCGCTCTTTGCGCCAACATCCTGTTGTTTTTTCCGGTGGGGAGTCTTCCCGCAAAACCGGCGAGATCTGTTGTTGTATAGAAAATTGTTGACGTGTTTTGTTTAATTTCGGAGGCCCTGCAGGTTGCCTTCGACCAAAGGCCGACGAAGTCTTGGAACTTATATATAGACATGCACAACCGTTGAAACCCCTTGTGTGCGGGAACGGTTGCGTTGGCCCCCCAAAATTCATATATCTATACATATATATATATATTTTGTTTTTTGCCCTTAGGATGCCCAACCGCTCTGCCTGCATTGGATTGGCAGCCTGCCAGATGCACGCGCAGCAAAAGCGAACGGTCGTCAACCACCCGAATGCGTAGCAAAGGGTTCTGGTTTCCGTTCATTTCTGTTAAAAAAACAGGTACCAACTCCGTAAACCGGAAATGTTTATTTTGTTTTTCGTGTCCTAGAGAAAAGAAAACACATCTTATAAGTTACTATAAGGTGAGCAATGTCCATGCCGTTCATGATGTGTAACTGTTTTTTCGAGTTCCTTCGGCGTGAAGAAATAGGTGTTATTAAGTCGTTTGCCAGCCAGAGATGGGGGCCTTTAATGTTGACTGTGTATATATGTATGTGTGGCAAAAATCCGCGTGTTTCCTTTGGTGATCAGGATTGCAGCTACAAACGTCCACCGACATCGTACATTTATCTATTTTCAAAAGGATCATGAACAGCAACGTCCCGACTCTCCTTAGTTTTGAAAGGATCATGGACAGTCTACACGTGGTGGACCAAACCTACATGAATGATGCGGCGAACGCATGAACGCAAGCACTCCTTTCGTGGGTTTCATCTTCACATCCAACAAATTGAAATTCATAAACAGAAACGATTGCAGATTGAGCTTCCTCCGAGCAACTCCAGAAGCATCCCAACATTTGAGACTGACAATTTGGAAATGTTGTGGTAATGGTTTCGGGTCTTTTCTGGCTCTCACGAATTTCACGCATCATCCCAAGTAGTGAGTGGCACAACCAAAAAATACCCATCTTGGGGCGAGTAGATGCAAGTGTCCAGGATGGCAATCAGAGGGCACAGCATAGCCTTACCAGCATCCTCAAACCTGTTCCTCCCAAGATGTTTCCACTTCTTTATGCAAACAAACTCTTCAGCGCCAATCCTGGCAAAGAACTGAATCTGCCCCACAAGCCGTTCCGCTTCACAGGAGAAAAGGACAGCATCACCAACCCCTGCAACCGCCCCTGGTGAAAAGACTCCTCGTAATGCAACCATCACCTCACCATCATGCTCGCTGCATGCAGTTCGTAGAAGTGATTCCAGTCTGGTACTGGGTTCATCTGGGTTCAAGAGTCCAACCTTCAATGGTCCAACCTCACCTTTGCGAAGCTCTCGGAGCTGCAAACACAGAGAATCAGACAACACACTCTTCTCCCAGCCGATCCACGTGTTTGTTGCCAAGGTTGCAAATTTTTTTACTTCCTTGTGTTTACGTTCGTGCACAAAGCACGATATGAGACCTTCGTGAGCAGAATGCATTCTCCCCAAGTGAGAGCTGTAGTGATGTTTCGGTGCGAACCTTTCCCACAATAGACCATCAAGTACCCGTGAAGGTGATCCAAGATCGCTTTGTGAAGGACGCTGGAATGTGTGCTCCCCTTCTTTATACCTTGCAACAGGTCCATGACCCTGGCAAGCCTCAAGTAACTTTCAATTTCCGACCGCACTGGACCAAATTCACTCGCTTTCTGCACAAGCACAAACCTCAATACAGAGTACAGACTCAGACCCTCACTGGCACTGCACTTTACCTCTGGAGACTCATCTTTTTTCTTCTTTGCAAAAACCTTTTGACCTGTGATAGATCGTGATGACAAAGACGATGGAAACCTGAAAGTTTGAAGGTCGTCGTGGAGGTTCCTGTGAGTGTAGTTGCAGCGGTCACTTAAACGAGACAGCAAAAGTCCAGTTTCATGATTCCAAAGCCCACTAGACAAGTAGGTATGCATCCAATCGAAGCAAATGGAGCTGACAGGTTTGATGGAAAGCTGTTCACATAACAGTACACCATGTAAATTGAGGCTCCACCCTGTTAGCTGCTGGGCCCTCTCGAAAGCTGCTTTGGATGCGTTGTTCTTTTTGTCTGCCAGCAATTTCAAAGTATCTCGCACGGACTTATCCGAGTGTGGCTGCACCAATGTAGGGTCTAGATTTGTCGATGGCAGGATCCTCCCTGTGCTATCGTGTAGATGGATTTCACTTTTGTGATCCACGATATTTTGGCAGAGCGGGCACAACACAGTGCCCGAAGCACCGCGAAAATCGAGACTTTCTTTTAAAGCCACTTCATCTCCAATCAACATGCTCACCTCCCCAAAAATGACCCGTCTCTCAGAAGTAGGCAAAACAATCTGGATTCCACTTCTCAGGTCGTATGGCTCATAAAATTTGCACAATGCCATCTTCAACCACTGCCCTGCCTTCCCAGGCAGTCTTCGAACAGCATCAGACCGTGCTATGCCCAACAGAAACCAACAGCTCTCCGTAGAGAGCGCCGGTAAGCCATGAGCTTTGAAGCTCCAGTAGGCTATGTAGACCTTGCGTTCATTCACATGCCTCAAAACGTTCCCTGGTGTTACTTCGTCATTGTATGCAACAATGTCCAGCTTCCTGTCGAAATTGGGTTGGTGACGATCAAGCATTTGTTTGAAGAAAGTAGCGTACTCATCGCAATTTTGGCATATGTAGTGGATGAGTGAAAGTGGGTTGACGAAAAAAAAAGGTGGCCATCTCTGGTTTCTCTTGGCCTTCTTCCAATGTCAAGACCGCCTGTTCACTGACCAGCAGTTTTCCGTAAGGTGTTTCTATGTCTACACTCTCATCTCGCGCTCTCTTGATGCTGCTTCTAGACTTTGCTTTTGGCAGCCCATGCTCTTCGATCTCCTCGAAGATGCTGGCCAATGCAGACTGTGAGACCAGCTTGCTTCTGCCAATGCCACCAAATGCCATAGCATGGTTCCTACGCCGCAACCCGTTTAACTGAAGTATATATTTGTTTCCTTTTCTTCCAGTTCAAGACTTGGCCATTATTGCTTGTTATAAGTAACATATGGGTCATATGGGTGGTTATTGTATGGTATATAGTATGATGCATGCTGATCGTGAAGCGAGCTCAAACGCCCAGCCACCGCGAGCCCTTAGAGCCCAGCAGACTTCAATCCAAAAACCGGCATCTGAGTAAGCAGCAAGATGCTGCAGGTGTTTTCGACAGACTGCAACAAGAACATAGTGAACAGCCGTCATGCAGCACATGAATCCTTCTGTAGCCGCTGTGTCCCTATGATTCTGGAGAAAGTTTGAGCAGCACAAGACATGTTCGTGCAAAATGATTCTGCTACTACCCCTTGCAAAAAAAGATGGACAGCTTTTCTTCGATCTCCGACGTAGATCCAAAGCTTGTGCCAGGCAAGCTCTATACACCCCAACTGCGCAGCGTAGCTGCAGCTATACCCTTGCTGACCGTTGCAGGGGGCATGAGAACACAAATGCTTAATGACAACGAATTGTTGCTGCTCATGTATTTGTTTCCAATGTTTCAACAGCGTCTCCTATACCCTGCAAACGGTGCGATATACCCCTAAGGCTGGCTACATACCCCGAGTGAAACTAGCTGCGTTGTTTCTCAATCAGCTGCAAGGCCTTTACAAACGAAGCGTGGGGATCCCCCTTGAAAGCAACCTTTTTGTCGTTCCGGTCCGTCTTGCACAAGAACACCCTCCAACACTGCGTTCGATCTGAGCGGTGAACTTTGCCGCCACCCCAAAAGAAGGTTTCTCCCTGC